AAAATTAATAGTAATCTGAACGTTGTCTGTTTAAGGAATCACATATAAATATATTCAATATTTTATAGAATAAAATGATACAATTAAAACATTGAAGACAAAAATGAGATAAATCTCATACTTTAGAGATATTCGAAGCAATTATTCCTACTAAAAAAAAAAACCTCCTAAAGTCTAAAGAGAATAGAGGAGTCATCTTCTAACCCAATTAAGCTCTGAGCACACAAAACAACAAAATCAAGTGGAAAAATTTCATCTACACCTTTTTATTACCTTATTTTAAAACACACCCCTTACATTATCATATTGATATTGATATATATACTAAGGTAAACAAACTAACAAATTAAGGGCGAGAAGATCTTTTATTTCGTTGATGTCACACAATCGTCAGTTGCATTCCTCCATTTAATGTATATAGCTTCAACTCCATGAATTACAACATCCTCTCTCTCTCTCTCTCTCTCTCTCTCTCTCTCTCTCTCCTTGTGAATAATTCATTCTAAATACATTGTTTTTTGATAAGAATAATATTATTTGAACCTAAAAATTTGACTTAATTTACTGGCATAATGATGTAATTTTATAAAAATTATTGGATTAATATCAAATTTCAATACTTGATGGAACCTACAGTCAATCTAAATGTCACAGTAAAATAGGTCAATACTGCCTCATTATTTGAATCTCTATTTGTATTAGAATACATTTCGTATATTCAATTTTAATTTTATTTATCCTTAATTTTTTATGCTAAATATTCTATCGAAAAATATGCTTTATAATTCTTGTTTTACTGTCACCTACTACATCGTCACTTCATAGATTATTTATGCCAGTTAATTCATCCATAGTCAAAAGAAAGAGATATGAATTTAGGGCAAAATCTTGATGAAATACAACGAAAGTGTCATATCCTCTCTTATAGTTGTTCTCACTAATGTTACTAGATCCTCAATGCATAACCTTAATCATATGAATATACCTATTTGTAACAATTTTACTTTTTAAAATTCATTTATTTTCTCTATATTTTAGTACCATATTATAAATGTAATTGGAAAGTAAATTAGTATTATGCAAATAAAATTGGTAGGCTAGTGGTTTTTTAATACATGGAAGTATTTCAACTGAAGAATAAAATAAAAAATTTGTTGTAACATTTTCAGATAATATAAGGTGTAAATTTGGAGATTTGCAAACTTACAATGATGAGAATGTAATATTTTATAACATTAATCATTACATAGAAAAAGAAAGAAACGCGTAGGCCAAAACAAAACGAAATCCCCACTTCTTCGACGCGTTTACTTTTTAGTTCACAATGATACGATGGATCCACCTGTCATATGCCATCCCATCCTTTTCGGGTCATCCACATGTAATGTACCTTCCTGCATGGCATATAATAACATCACGATAAGGGTGATTTGGTCATTCCAATTATACGTACTTTGATTTTAGGGTAAATTATACAAAGTCCACCAAAACTTAGAGTCAATTGTACGTCACCTCCTTCAATAATTATGGATTGCAATTAATCCCCTCTTACTTGTGAATAGAGTGCAAATCATACCTCACAACTTAACACCCTTCATTTGTCTTCTAATTTCATTTGTAGTGTCATCTATTCTAACAGGTTAACACCCAAAAAAACCACCGACAAATAGGCACATCCTTTTCTCAACCATCATAATGATCCTGCCCCCACCACGATTGATCCATCCCCACCTTAAACTCTCCCTTCCACCGTCAGCTCAAATGCCACAAAATCATGTTGACACATCAGTCAAAAGTCCCCGCCAAAATAGCCCATTTGAATCAATAGTTTTAGAGTCTAGACCAACGTAGAAGATGATGGTGAGTAAACCCTTTTCAAGATCTAGCAGGAGCAATGTAACACCCTAAAATTCACCCTAAAAAGTATTAATATATATGAACTATCTAATCATGAAAGCAATTAAAAATAACCATTTAAATAATATATCATCCATCCACTCGATAAATACCAAATACTAAGACAATAAAATATTGTAACTTCTCCAAACTTACAATTCAAAACCAAACTATAACTAGCAACAGAATAACTACATATAATAAAAACACTATTTCATAACCAACTCAAAAAAAAAAAAAAAAATCTAGACTACAAAGAAGCATCTCTAAGCCTCCATGTCGGAATTCACATACTGATCCTCTTTAGTCACGAGATCAACTTGCTCATCTAATCCAACATTCTCTTCTTTGCCAAAATCTATAAATATTGTTATAGGGGGATGTGTAAAAACCCATCGAAAATCTCTCTCAAATTCAAACAAGGTTTTAAAACAGTATAAAAAAGGCAAGTTTCATTTGAAAAATGACATATATACCTTTTTGAAAGTATAATCGTGTCAATTGTAATGATCTTAAGTGTACGGAATACAATAAATCAATTACACGAATAAACATTTAAAGGTGAGAGTAATTAATAAATAATTCAATAACAATATCTTAGTTTTTCTCAAGTATCTCGTGCATGTTGATTGCTACTTAATAATCTACACAACAATTTTACCTTGTTCATCTACCATAATCTCAATCATTTTCCACAAGGCCAAATTACAAATCACAAATCACTTTAAGAATGACGTATACCACCGTCTCACACGGAATTGATGAATGGTTCCTAGGAAAGGTTTATCATTCCTTTACCTCAAATCTATGTGAACAATAGTGGTTGATCTTGCAAGTAATAACCTATTACAAGTGTTAGGTAATCATCTCACCCCCACTAAAATAGACTAACATCTAACACTCTATAGCAGCTCTCAAAAACAATTTAAGTTTGTCACACCCAAGCCATACAAAGATGAAAAACCATAATTTTATCAAATCGTATATTCAACCAGTCACGATTTTTCATGAAAATCCATGTAACACAAGTTTCACAATTCTCAATATACAAAAATAATGGAATTAAAAATATGCAAAAGATCGTATAGAAAACCTTTACGATTTCGATATTACAATTCTATGGTTTTAGAAAAAATCAAAATTTTTTGAAATAAGAACAAGTATTAGAATAAAACATCATTTAATTAAGAATAGATATCTAGAAATCTAGAATCTATGTATCTTTCTCATTAGAACATGTATTTAACAAAACTAGGATTTTGAAAACTTAAGAACGATATTCCTTGAATGCAAGACATGCATTTTATTTAAAATCATTTGTTAATTAAAAAGAAATCAAGAACAAACGATTATCTAATATATAATAATCAAGGAAATTAAAAACATACATAAATAATACACTAACTCTCAATGAAAGAATTCAAGAAGAATCTCCTACCTTAATTTATGTAAACTTTGATTCTAACATGTTATGATGTGATTCCTCGATGTTAACCTGTCACAATATCTTCATCTTTCTTCTCCCAACTCTCTTTAGCTTCCCAGGGTTGAAATAATGATTAAAAATAGCCTAAACTCGTCCATATGTATTTATAAGACCAAAATCGAAGAAAAACACTAAAAATTGATTAGGCCAATCTCAGAGACGCATTCAAACGGCTGATGTGCGTTCGAACGGAAAGCAGCAATATCAATACTCACGTTCAAACGACTGACATGCATTTGAACAGAAGTTTGTATCGTCAAAAGCACCAATCAGAAGGACCCCATGCATTCGAATAGTGAAAATCTCTCTAGAAATCTTCAACCTAACTTGGGCATTCAAACGGTCCTTCACCGTTCCGACTCAAGTGACTCTTTGGCCCAAACTTGTGGCTCAAATTTCGATTTAGTTAAAAAGTCAATTCACAAAATTTCATGAAATACACTTTTATAATTCTAGAAGTCTAATGATTGTAATAATTTCAAATCAATCGAACATCGGGATAAAAAGTTATGGTCTAAATATGAATGTAGTGTTAAATTTCATTATACCAAACTTTCTTAAAAATGCAGTTCAACTTCGAAATACTTTCAAACTTTCAATACACCACAAATCATCTATTCCAAGATTTCTCGACCTTTCAGATATATTTTTGATGTTATTTCAGTTTAAATATATTTAAACCTTAACTAAATTCATTTCTTCTATGAGTGGCCATCCCAAAACTTCCAGCTTCTCCACATATCTTAACTTTTTCTACCATCGCCACATGCATAGTTTTTTCATTCTTAATTCTTTCTTACATCATCACATATATAAGCAATACAAAATAATTATGTCACTATGTTAAGATAAATAAATGATGGTTTACAAGCGATATGACAATCCATGAAATGGGTTTTGAGAAGGGTGTTTATTTGATCTCATAACCATGTTCATGGCTTGATTCAACCTCAAATTAATTAGGGTATGGAAGAAGATTTGATTTTTTTTGGTAATTGGATATGAAAGAAAATAATGGTGGGTAATTGGATCATGGGGAGGTGGGGAATTGCAGTAGGGGGGTGGGTTAAGCGGAGGAGTCGCATCACCGATAGGGTGGGGGGGATGGGATGGGATAAGGAGGAGGAGATGGGAGTAGAGGTGTTGCCAATGCTAGGGATCGTACAGGTGAAGGGATTGAAGAGAGAAAAAAAGAGAGGTGAAAGAGAGTAAGCCACACAAAATCTATGGGTTTAATGTTTGTCCAGTAATTTTTGTCCATTGGATAAAATTTGGATGAAATGCAAATTTGATAATTTAATTTTTTATTTTAAAAAAAAAATTATTTATTTTATAACACGCACTTAATTAACATGTGCAATTACCGTGCCTTTATAATCAACTAATTCTGTTAGATTTGCAGTTTATTCACAAATAACAGAAGTTAAGTGAAACACGTAAAACTTGAGGGGTGATATGTAACTGATTTTAAGTTCAGGGAGCTTTGCGTAATTTATGTATATCTCATAAATCAAAGAGTTAAAAATCGAGATTACCGGACTAATGACCTATGAGAGAAAAGAGAATGGACTATGGAGTAAAATAACGGCGGCCAACTACTCCCCAATTTCCCAATTTGCTCTCTCTCTCTCTCTCTCTCTCTCTCTCTCTCTCGCTCGCCCCAATTTCAAACCCTCGTCTCTCGCTCTCTCTCTCTGATCTGACTATGTGCTTCGTCTTCATATTCTGAGCTGATTGACAGCTAGTATCATTTTGATTTGGTGCAGTTGTCGTTCGTGCAAAAATGGATTGAAATTTTCTTCTTTTGGATCTGTGTTCATAGTGATCTGTAAGGTACTCCATTTACTTGCTTTTCCAATTTCATGCTACTTTTTCGCTTCACATTCTTTGCTCGGTTTCTCAACTAGCCCGTTTGGTGGATCAACAAATTGGGTTCGTTTTTAGTAAAAACTTAAAAATATTTCTCGTGTCTGGCTGTTGATTCGTAACGGTCGTCTAAGATTTTCGAGCTATTACTGTTTATCTAATTCGTTGAAACCCTGAGTTAACTCTTACAATTCTAGAAGCCTCAGATCCTCTGTTAATTGTTGCTAGAGCTGAGTTTGAACACCGTTCTTTTAAAAATTTTCCTTTTTTTTCTTTTTCATATTTCTGTTTATGTGGTTCTAATTGAATATGATGAAGAGCTTCGACATTCTCTGATTAATATGTACAGGCACTTTAAAGATTTGAAATTGACCGTCCGTTTGTGCTGATTTCAGCGTACGTGTGGAATTTGCTTGACATATCTATCTCCCATGAGGTCGTATCTGTCGATTTTTAGTTTTCTGTTATTGGGCTTGTTGGTGATTCGTTTAATCTCGGCTGCCGATTATGTCCCGACTGATAAAATTCTTCTCAACTGTGGGGGTCCTCCTGATTCAACCGATCCTGATGGTCTGAAATGGACCTCCGATATCGGCTCGATGTTTGCGGTGGCCAATGGGAAGTCATCAACTTTTCCAGCCGCTACTCAAAAACCCTCTGTACCCGAAGTCCCTTTTATGACCGCCCGGATTTTCCAGTCCGAATTCACATATAGTTTCCCAGTAGCCTCTGGCCGTAAATTTGTCCGTTTGTACTTCTACCCTTCATCTTATGCGGGGTTCAATGCCTCGAATTCTTTCTTCTCGGTGACTGCTGGCCCATATACCCTTCTCAAGAACTTCAGTGCAGCCCAAACTGCTGAAGCTCTGACCTATGATTTTATTGTTAAGGAGTACTCTATAAATGTTCCATCCCAGACATTAAACTTAACCTTCACGCCGGATCCAAATACTCCCAATTCTTCTGCATTTGTGAATGGGATTGAGGTTATATCACATCCTGACATCTACAATACTGAAGATGGAACTTCAATGATTGTGGGCCAATCTACAGCATTCATCATTGACAATACTACTGCTCTCGAGAACATATATCGGCTGAATGTGGGTGGAAATGACATTTCCCCATCTGGTGATACTGGTATGTTAAGGTCCTGGTATGATGACACACCATACATATTTGCGGCGGCAATTGGGGTTACAGAGGCTGCTGACCCAAATATGACAATCAGTTATCCTACGGGCACACCAACCTATGTTGCGCCAGTTGACGTCTACGGTACTGCTAGAACAATGGGCCCAGATTACCATATCAACGAGAATTACAATTTGAGTTGGACTTTCTTAGTCGATTCGGGATTCTCTTACTTGGTTAGACTCCATTTCTGCGAGGTTGCTGAAAATATAACTCGAATTAATCAACGAGTGTTTGAGATCTTCCTTAATAATCAGACAGCAGAGACTGAGGCAGATGTGATTGCTTGGGCACAACACAATGGAGTTCCGGTCCACAAGGATTATGTGGTGCTTGTTCCTACTGGGCCTCCACAGCAGGATCTTGGGCTTGCCCTGCATCCAAACATTGCATCAAAGTCAAATTATTATGATGCGATCTTGAATGGGGTAGAGATTTTCAAAGTAAATAATAGTAATGGGAATCTTGCTGGTCCCAATCCAGTCCCTGTGATACAAGAAGTAATCGACCCATCACGAACTGAACCATCATCCAAATCAGGTGAATCAAAGAATAAAAACGCAGTTATTGGTGGAGGTGTTGGTGGTGGTATCGTTGCACTGATTATTGTTGGTTTGCTAGTTTGTGCTGTTTCCCGTCGCCGTAGGCACAGAAAGGACTCAAGTGCAAGCGATGGACCATCAGGGTGGCTCCCTCTTTCTTTGTATGGAAATTCACACTCTTCAGGCTCAGCAAAGACAAACACTACAGGAAGTTATGCCTCCTCCCTCCCTTCAAACCTTTGTCGTCATTTTTCATTTGCCGAGATCAAGACTGCCACCAACAACTTTGACGAGGCTTTGCTACTTGGGGTAGGAGGTTTTGGAAAAGTTTACAGGGGAGATATTGATGGTGGAACGACTAAAGTTGCGATTAAGCGTGGGAACCCGCTCTCTGAACAAGGTGTCCATGAATTCCAAACTGAAATTGAAATGCTTTCAAAACTTCGGCACCGCCACCTTGTTTCACTGATTGGTTATTGCGAAGAGAACTGTGAGATGATCCTTGTATATGATTACATGGCTCATGGAACCTTGCGTGAGCATCTTTACAAAACCCAAAAGCCCCCTCTACCATGGAAGCAGAGGCTAGAAATTTGCATTGGAGCTGCTCGCGGTTTACACTATCTCCACACTGGCGCCAAGCACACTATTATCCACCGTGATGTTAAGACAACTAATATCCTCCTGGACGAGAAGTGGGTGGCGAAGGTTTCTGATTTTGGGTTGTCAAAAACAGGTCCTACCTTGGATCACACTCATGTCAGCACTGTGGTGAAGGGTAGCTTTGGGTATTTGGATCCGGAATACTTCCGGCGGCAGCAACTGACAGAAAAATCTGATGTTTACTCATTTGGAGTTGTACTTTTCGAGATTTTGTGTGCTCGTCCAGCATTGAACCCGACACTGCTGAAGGAGCAGGTGAGTTTGGCAGAGTGGGCTTTACATTGCCATAAAAAGGGCATTCTTGATCAGATTATTGACCCATATCTGAAAGGGAAGATTGCACCAGAGTGCTTCAAGAAGGTTGCTGAGAGTGCAGTGAAGTGTGTGGCTGATCAGGGTATTGACAGGCCATCAATGGGTGATGTGTTGTGGAACCTCGAGTTTGCTTTGCAGCTTCAGGAGAGTGCAGAGGAGAGTGGTAAGGGTATGGGCAGAATGGACATTGAAGAGGGGTCATTTGATGTGGCCTGTAAGGGAAAGAAAGATCCAGATGCATCCCCAGGTTTTGATGGCAATGTTATGGACTCGAGGAGCACTGGGATGTCAATGAGCATTGGTGGTCGGAGCCTTGCTAGTGAAGACTCGGATGGGTTGACACCAAGTGCTGTGTTTTCACAGATCATGAACCCAAAAGGACGTTGAGCTCTAAAGGCGATTCACCATTGCACTTGCCTCTGGTTGCTGATTCCCTGTAAGGCCTTATGCTTTCTAGTTTTTGTTGACAGTGAAAGTGTAGTCTCTGTTAACAGTGGGAAGTTACTTTTTGTTTTGTCTTACTGTTCTATTGCTTACTATTTTATTATTTGGGATTCCCAGTAACTTTCATGAAATCCTTTTGTATGTTGTATTCTATTCTACAATACATGAAGATTATGAAAATAATGTGATGTTCTTCCTATTCTAGCTTTTCATATTTTCATGCATGCTGCTTTTTTTTTATTAGCTGGTTACACAGCCCAATTAGGTACTCTTGTTGGCTTACTTCTTTTTTTGATGAACATGCAAAAAGATAGAACATACATATTGTTACCACTTTACCCAATATCACATTGCAATCACAAGAGGCTTTTACAACATTAAACTGTACTAATTATATGAAGACATGATATTCTTAGTCTTTCCAGATGTTAAAGGAAGTGGGGTTTTTTTTTTTTTTTGTCCAAAGAACCTTTAGATACGATTTGAGCAATATTATTTGACCTATGTGTTTTCGGATCCGAATGAATATATGAGCTGACACGAATTAGATCACATGTGGATGGTTCCACATTAATTAGGTGGTGTCATTTAATTTGCTTGCTGATGGTTGACTCTGTTGAGGAGAGGAAAGAGATTTTAGGCTCATGGTAGGTTAAAACATTGCTCACTTATAATCCTGTGTAGTCAAATTTATGGTGTGTTTTGTTGTTCATAAGTCTTGTATAGTTGAATTTATGTCATATACAACTAATTATATGATGTTCATTTATCAAGCGAGTTGGAGGGAGTGCCAACATTATCGATCCTGTGAAGAATCGAATACCATTGGCAATGGCTGGCATGCATGCCCTACCCATTAATTAATTATTTCTCGTAGCAAACGTTGACATACTTTTCTTGCATGTGAACAAATTTAAATAATAAAAATTACTAATGATATTTGTATTTAACTTGAAAATCAAATACATTATGGTTTGGTGTTGGTCAATTAAAAATTAATGAAATATATAAAAAGAATAAAAAAGTATACATGTAATTAAGTTAAATCCCATATCATATTTTCAAGTTTTATAATTTTATTGTTGATAACATGTTATAATAAAATGATAATTGGACTTTATTTAGAGACTTAATCAATTGTAGTTGTTGAATTAAAAATAAACTCCATCTAACATTGGAATTCATAATTAATCTAATGACTACATTAAATTAGGTCATATAACATTGCTCCAATTGAAATGGTTTATCTATGATAAAACAAGTAATAAGAAAAAAAAAAACAAAAAAATCATTTTCTGATTTAGCATGATAGTGTTATCTTAATGTGTATTCCAAAGGTGACATATTGACTCAATCTTATTTTTTAAAAAACTAACTTTTAGAATCGATTGCAAAGTATCATAAAAGTTATAAATGATCCTTTAAAGTAAGAAAAATATCAAAAAAAAAATCCACTGCCATAGACTTCTTCTCTTTCTATTCAATATCAAGGAGAACTACTCGTCTCAATCTTTACTTGTTGGCAACTAATTCAAGTCATGTATGCAAACATTTTTAGCATCAATCGTAATTTTTCACAAAAGTGATGACTCAAACTTTAAAAATTATAACATGATCCAAAACTCAAAAATTTGTATCAAAATTCAAAAAAAAATATATATATATATATAAATTTGAACGTAAAGGTATAAAAAAAAATCTTGGCTGCCAGAAGATTTTCCTTTTAGAAAGCGACTTATTTGGCATTTAAGAGAGATGCACATCATTATGATAAATTAAAATTTGAGTGAGTTAATGTTGTTAAAAATTAAAATTTAAATGAGTTACCACAATTAAAAGGTTAAAAGTTAAAATTTAAATGAGTTATAATAGTAAAAGGATAAAATGTTAAATCGTAATATCAACTGTCGGATTTAAATGATCAAAACCATTGTTGTGTTTTTCTAACTAAGGAATCTAAACAGTTAAAACAGAGAGCTCTGTTTTATAAAAACATTATAGATAAATATGACTTTTAGTCCTTCTCACCAGCATTGGCATGTTCTTAAGCATTTTGGCCGGGCATTTGATGACCTCAATCAAGAAATTAAAAATTACCAGAAAATTGAATACTTGTGAAATTGAAATAATAATATTATATGCTAAATTTCTCCACGGTTCGGGATTATTAGGTAAACTACTTACATATCCTACTCATCGGGAGCTGTTGACCTGCCTGCCTGCCTGCCTTCCAACAGCAAACATAAAATCTGTATCCGTATCCCAAAACCATGTCCATTTTGATCTTAGATTCCCAAAAATCGACTCAAGACAAAATAAGCATTATTCACTATAAATACGCTTGATGTAAGCACACCATAATTATAATGAAACAAGAGTTTCTCTGTGTTTTCGGAGATTCTCTCAAAGGTCATCGTCCTCTTCAACTCTTCTTGCATCTATTCTTGACATTCTTTATGGTATCAGAGCTGCGAAAAGAGACCTGCGCCTCAACAAGAATGAATTCTTCTACAGCTTCAACAAACTCGACATCTACTACTACTACTACTTCCATTTCTCTAAATTCTGTCTTGCAAACTCTAATTTTCTTACTCTCAAGCATCTTCCATGCAAAGACTAAACATACTGAAATTGATTTTCATTTCATTAGAAAAAGGGTCACTAGAGAAGACTTAGTTGTGGACTATATTTCTACTCAAGATCAAGTAGCTGATGTCTTCACTAAGGGCTTAACTTCACACACTTTGTTAAATTTCAAGACAAACTCAAGGTTCGCTCCTCTCATTTCATTTTGTGGGAGGCTATTAGCGATGATGGTTCATCACAGAGAAAGCCACGCTGTGGAAGTCAGTTAAGGAGCGAACAGCTGGCAGCATACAAGTGAATAGTTAGATAACTGATTCTGTTAGGATTAACAGATTATGTACAACTGTAATGCATCACACTGTAAAGGAGGAGGTCTCTTAACATTATTCACTATAAATACGCTTGACGCAAGCACACCACAATTATAATGAAGTAAGAGTTTCTCTCTCTGTTTTTGGAGATTCTTCTTCAACTCTTCTTCTTTTGATATGAGTTTCGGCATTTGTTCTTGACATTCTTTAAATAGAACATGACAGATTTATGCTATGAAAATAGAGAAATTTAAGATTTTACTGATGATAAAACAAGCTAACAAAAGGGTTTTTCACTACGGAAAGAAACACTACTTTGAACTCCCCACTCTCATACATCTGAATAGGGATTTACTTGGTCTGGAAAGACCTGAATACTGTCAAACTCGACTGCCTTATACAAAACAGATTTATGCTATGAAAATGGAGAAATTTTAGATTTTACTGATGATAAAACAAGCTAACAAAAAGGTTTTTCACCACGGAAAGAAACACTACTTTGAACTCCCCACTCTCACACATCTGAATAGGGATTTACTTGGTCTAGAAAGACTTGAATACTGTCGAACCTGACTGCCTTATACAATGCCAAAAGCCTCCTTTAGACACATCTTGCACAGACTTGTTTATGCCATGTACTAGCTAAACGACGAACAAATCAGTCATATTAGGCTTGGTGCTCCATCATATTTGCAAAGCCAATGCAGCACAAATACCAGCCCAAATGAGAACTCATTTACAATAATTCCTACAAAAAAAAAAGTCAGAAACATAGATACCAGGATCGTAGGTACCTCTAACGTCCTACGAACTATGGTCACATGATCTGAAACACGGTGGGTTCACAATCCAAATTGCTCAAAGTTCTGACCTCAAATTATAACTCACACCACAAATTGACTCATGATCTAAACTTATCTCATGTAACAACCTCAACCCCAAATCGTAACCCTAACTTAACATTTCTTTATTTTGGTGTTTTTTAACTGATGTTTTGATTTGTTGCGGTTTAACTTCTTCATAATACAAATATACAACAATTAGCTTTTATCATTTACATGTACCTTGAAATTTTGAATTGTTTTAAAACTCTTGTTCAAAAATATAATCAAAATATAAGTTAACTATGTGTATATAGATGTATAATTCCACATAAAAATTACAAAACAAACCATGACCAATAATAGCCAAAGTAACATTTGGTCAGAAATGATAGCAAAATATTGAAAACAATAAAAGGAGGAGACAGACAAAACAAAAATCAGGTCAAATAACTGCACAAAAGGTCGAGTTTTCCACCCAACAAGACATTAATGCCATATAAATATTCACATTTACAATGAAAATGAAGTAATATAGACATGCTCGGAATACTCACACAAGGGAGAACAAAGACCGGAACCATCACAGCAGTTATTTCTGGCATGGGGTGATTGAATCTAGAATGGCAGTTACCTTCCTCTGCAGCTCTGGCTTATTGGCCCCCACGAGTTTGTCAACTTGCTGTCCATCTCTTAGAAAGAAAAAAGTAGGAGTGGCTTTGATATCCCAGGACGCACTGAATTCCTGAGCGAGAGAACAAAAATAAATTGGATTCCTAAGAAATTTGATTTACATCATGCAAACTATCCTAAAACATTAACATGACAGTCACTTCACACTTTCTGTTGGTTTAAATGATAAACTTCGAAAAAAAAATCCTGGGCATGTTGCTTATTGTGGTGAGTCTTCAGAATTAACCGGAGTTTGAGAGAATACTAATTATTGTTACAGATAGTAACAAGTCAGGACCATAATAAGAGGTAAATGCTTTGAACAGCAGGGTTGGAATGCATGAAATGCTGGTTTTGCTTTTCTAACAATTCCTGATATTTGCATCACTTACAGTTAGTTCATCAACATCAACTGTTAGAAACATAAGAGAAGGATGTTTCTCGGATAATTCGCAGTATGACGGTGCAATCATTCTACAAGGACCACACCATGATGCACTGAAATTGGCAATCACCTGTTGAATGATCAACTCTATTTAGAAGAGCAAAATTCTACAAAAGATAAATGCTAAAAAAATTAAGCTCGACTTAAAAACAATATCAGTAATATTGCGAGGGAATTAGAAAATCCGCCTACAACATTTTGATGGCTGGTAATAGCTCTTAAAAAAGGTTATAGCATACGATCATTCTAGTGTATAGCCCTCATCCTTTTTTAACAATAAATGACAAGAAGTTATTTTCTCAGACATCAACGGTAGCCAACAGATGTCCTTACTTCTTGCACGCAGATGAAAGCATGCTCTATAAGTACTTGTGATATGTGGCCATAAGCAGTGCAGTTCATGGCAAGAATGGAATGAGATCTTATCAATTACAAGATTGAAAACAATGGTTTGCAGTCATACACAAGGCAATCAATCACATTTCTGTATCTAACTTGAAAGACTTATCTCCTCCCATTTTCACTATATGGTGGTAATATTGGCTAAACTGACTGAAAAGGGTTGACTTCTTTTATCCAGTTGCTGCCCCAAAAAACGTACATGAGGGAAAGGAAAAGGGTAGCTGAGAAATTGGATTTCGGGAAAATAAGGTTTTAAATTTTAACTCAAAAGTCAAAAAATCTCAATGACTGAGTGAAGCTAAAAAAAATGGAGTTTAGTAAAGAAGTATTGATTTTTTGAGTTAGTACCAAAGTAAAGAAATAAACTCTTGCCAGCATCAAGCCCTATTGTGGAGCTCAAATCAGACGAAGGCATCACCCTCTGTGACAAAAGCCTAGTTGTCAATGCGTTGATTTTTTTCTCATAAAAAGAAAGGGGAAAAAGAAGGCATCCTATGTGCTGAAACAATATAATCCTAGTCCTTCTTGGTTATATTAGTTCTTTCCTTGATTGGTTGTATAACGCTACTTTGGTTTGTGGCACACATTTGGAACTCTTTCTTTTAATCCTCTCTCATTGGAAAAATATGGTAATCTTCGAGAATAGCTCAATCTTGTTACATATAACAATGCTGTCTGATTAAACCAGATATGCTCAGCTATGGAGTTCAAAGTGAAGTAGAAAAAGATGGAAAATTTGTGTTTAATACTTACAATTTTCCCATCTCTCCTAGCATCTGCCAGCTTTTGATCCCAACTTTCTTTGGTAGTTATGAGGTTCACATTTCCACCAGCAAATTCAACATGATGATCAGAATCATCTCCATCATTCCTAGACTACAAACATTATGCACGCAATAACATCTTGGTCAGAGGACTGGAAAGGAATGAGTAATCAAACCACACTAGGTATGAACCAAGTTTTGAAACCATCAATCAAGTCATTGCTAAGGTCAACAAAATTGAAAGTACTTTTCATGGAAATTTCTGGAACTTCTCTAAATTGCTAGGGGCAATGGACAAAAAAATCAAATAGGTCACATAAACTAGCAAAACACCTTCACTTTCATCACCACTAAACAGAGTCCGTCTTTTTCATTCTCATAGCATTACGAGACAAACCCTACTTACCAAAAGAAATATGAGAGAGAGAGAGAGAGAGAGAGAGGGAGAGATCCAACGTTGTTTAAGAATGTGTTCAACGTAATTGCCATAAAGTAAAAGGAACTTAAAAACTTCAGCTTCATTTTGACACCCAAAGGCCCCACAATGTATCATACTTTATAAGGAATAGAAATAAATCTTGCGCCCAAAAGTATCTATATTATTTAAGAGGGTCCACCAAATCAGTGGTGGACCTAGGTTATGGGCACCATATCACTAGCTTGCACACGCTACCTCAGTGACGATGATCCCTAGGAAGTATGGACACTTCATTTTGGCCAGTGTGTCGATGTCAAACACATCTGGGACACAGACGTGCTAAAATGAGTGTCCGATTTTTTTATTATTTAATTTGTATTCCAAGATACATGTTAGACACGTTTAGGACACACGACCGACACACTGGGGAAACGCTAGTGGACAAGTTTTCGAAAACTTTATAATTAAGGAAGTTATTTTTGTATTTTAAAAAAAAATATGAGGCAAAGACATAACGTAGAAAGAACTATAATCACTACATGAATATAAAACATCGACATAACATAATTTCAGACATGATTATGAAACTATGTACAAATTGAATAAACTTTCTATATGAAATTAAGGTTATAAAAAATAGGTTACTAAATTGTAACTCTTTGAATTTGATGAAAATTAAAGTTATGATTTGAGATATTTTTGAAAATAGAAATTGTAAAACATTGATTGTTGGATCATGAATATTTATGATGAGTGTGTATCGGTATATATGATATTGTATTTTTTATTTGATGATATCATGATGTAAATTATTAGAATTAAGGAAATGATGAATTTGATGACTATTATCAAAATATATTTATTTTGTCACATGATCATATATATATATAGCATTTTAAAAACGTATCCTATAACGTGTGTGTATCCTACTTTTTTAAAACATTTCAAATCGGCATGTCCGTGTCGTGTCGTATTCATGTCCGTACTTCTTATGATGATCCCATTATAGATGTCACATGACAGAGGACTATTTTAGTAGAGTTTGGCTCGGCTCACTTGATTTTTGCTCTCTTTTGTAGGAGAAACTCAAATTTTCTTTGATGAAGGATGAATCGATAAACTTGTCAGTTTAAGAGCACTTGATTTTATTACCAAACTATAATTGTTCATGGATTTGGTTATGATTTTTGTGAGATCTTTTTAATTTGAGATAAGTTGTTTAAATAAGGAAATCTAGTCAGACTTTCTAAAAAAGAAAACTTTTAATTATGAGTCAAATATGGTTCTCTATTAGTACATCTTGTAAAGAATAAGCACCTTTGTATTTCGTAAGAGCAATTTTATCTTATGTTGATGAAATCATACTAAAGAATATTTGAAACTTGAAAATTACTCAACAAGTTTCGATCTATTTTACTAATAAGACTTCATTTATTTTTTTCTTGGTAAGACTCTCGAAATATCTTAGAGAAAAATACAGGAAGTAGAGTTGAGTAAAGATGATACGAATATGCCAAAGATCTTACCATATCTAAAGAAACCGAAGTTGCATCTCTTTCACATTTGTCTAGTGAAACGTTAAAAGTGTTGAGACCCGTAACATGGACAAATTCCTTTTCTTTGAAAAAAACCATACAAGCTCCATCACGCTAGCTAACAATTCGTCAATACTACGTCATAGGCACATTGGGAAAGTTGATAGGTGTAACCATATATGTCAGATGACATCAATGGAAGGCCAAAGATCAATGAATTAGACCATATTTGCCACCAAGCAAATAAACAACCCTGCACCTGTTTTTTCTTTGCCGCATGTTGTTTGTATTACTTTTTAAATGTGTGGTGAAATTTCTAAAGACTAGTACACTAGTTGTTGCTCTGCACAATCAATGATGTCCAATTCACTAATTCCATCATTATTGTGCATACTTAATCACCATTATGAGCCCCTTACAAGCTAGAAATGTTATAACTAAAACCACCACATCATGATCCTAATACCTCTGGTTTATCCCATATTTTGGGCCTAAAAACCGGGAATTGATCTTCTTAATCTAAAATTCCAATAAGTTTTTCTCTTTAGATTCAGACCAAAATTAGCCACAACTCTCAAACAATCTAACCGTTGTCTATCCCTTGTTTCTCATTTTATCATCTTTTGTTTTATAAGATCACTAATTTGTAATTTGTCATCTATACCACAAACCCCGATTTTCTAGAAGGATAATTGTTTGTATCGCCTAAAAAAGGGAAAATTCCGAGAAAACAATTTTAAAATTTATTACAACCACCAATGCTTGGGTTCATGATCAAAGATGACTAATAGTCTATCAATCAAAACCACATACAATGTTAGAAAAAAAAAACTCCACACAAGGATATGGCACAAGGTTATAAAATTAACTACAAAGTTGGAAGCATCCGATGTTTGAGATGGGTTGAAAGGAAAAAAATGGAGTAAAATTGCTACCTAACAAATAGGCTGACAGGTTGTTCCCTAAACCATTTTAGAATGTAAAAGATCCTATGATAATTCAACAAGATAAATCCTTCAAGGAGTAACTCAAATTGGAATGAGAACTTAAAAGAGATCCCCATACCTAAGGTTTTGCTTACTTTAAAATAAACACTCAACTCAACTAAATGAAATAGTTCCAACTACTTCAATTCAACTAAATAAACCCTTTTTTCATTCTACTGCATCTAGGAAAATATGTTCCATTTAATCAATCACGTCTTTACTTGTAGGCAATCTCCGTAGTTCTAAGCTTTCTTGTAGCCCTACCCTCATATCTCGTCATAACATATTCAACTTGAACCAAATAATATCAAGACTAGAAAGGAAACAAAAGCATTCAAACAAATTTATTTCCTAGTAATTTTTAACCATTTCATTTTTCTTTGTTGTCTTTCTTTTTTTATGTAATTGTTTCTTTTTTAGTGTTATAAGGTCTAATTCAAATTAGATCTTCCATCTTTTGCGTTGTGCTAGGAAGCATAGATATGAATATGAGATATGCGTACAATATGATACGGATACGGCGATATGACAAAACCTCAAAAACTATGATATAGATACGGTCAGAATACGTCTATAAAAAATATATTTTATATTTGTATTATTATGTAACAACTTGATAACTGTATTCTTAGTGATTCTTTAAACATAATAAATATTAAACAATCATCTACTCCAAAAATTTAAACTGTTAGAGAGGGCATAACTTTAGTATTTATACTTTAGTACGCCTTCTCATGTACACGCTAGATTTTAGGTCTAGTGCATAAAAACTCTTTTGATAATTAGGGTGGCAATGAGATTCGAATACATGACTTCCTACTCTGATACCATGTTAAACAATCATCTACTTCAAAAGCTTAAGTTGTTATAGAGGATGTAATTTAAGTATTTATACCTCAATAATAAACAACATTAACAATTTTTTATTTACAAAAGGTACATATCGTCTCACTATGGTATATCTACAAATGAACGTGATTAATTAAAAGAATAGGAAAGAAAAATTAATTAGATTGGTTGCTTAGAAGTATTTGTTGCTGAGATTATAGTATAATTAACTCATTTATACTCTTTGGACATGTGATAGTGGATAATACTTGAAAAACAACTATGTTCATGTGTTTTTCAAAGTTACATGACTTTTTGATGATGTATTGCATTGTATGTGAAATTGAAAGGAGTAAAGATTAAAATTAAAAATTATACATACTTCTTAATATCCGCGAAGTATCATATATTTGATTTATTATTAGATACATTTGTCTAATACATATAATCGAATATCTGACGAGTACCGTATTTAATATGGTATCTAATACGCATACATGGATCATAACGAAGTATCCATGCTAGGTGTTGTGTAACTGAGAAAGATGAGCAAGACCAAATAATTGAACCTTTACAATTGGTTCACATCATTTGGTCTCCTCCCAGAATTATCAAGTAACTAATGAAATGTGGAAATAAACAAATTTGCAATTCACAAATGAAGCAAAACCACTACCTTTCTGTAGCAATTGCATATATTTTGATTCAAAGGAAATTATTCAATTATTCATTAATTCACAGTGCATCAGTCAAAGGTATTTACCTGAGAAAAGCAAAGTCCCATTTTGATGTTAGTAAAAGTTGACAGATGAAGCCTAGCAGTAGAATCCAGAACTGAATTAAAGAAATGTAAAAATTATCTTTACTTGATGAAGTAGGGAAAAATCAAGATTTCTAGTGTTAACATTCAGGAACACACCAAATAATGAAACTATTGAAAATCATAACAGTCAAGTGTCCCCCCCCCCCCCCCCCCCAAAAAAAAAAAATAATAAATAATATTTTTTTTTTGCCAACAAACTATTGTTGTTGAATGCTTTGGAAGTACATGCATATCGTCTCCTCTTAAAACCTTCCAATAGCAAGTTAATGCAAAGGCTCAGAACATTACCATTAAATATCTAGTTAGCATTCATTGAATTACACAAGTTCAGAAGTACACGTACAAAACAACACATAGTCTGCCAAAAAGGTATTTTAGAAAAAGGAAATTACCCACAACAATAAAAATCAGAACTTGCTTTGGCCGTAAATTACAAGACCAACCAAAAGGTATTATAAATTTTGCACCAAATATATAACATTTTTCTTCTAATAAACACCAAGTGATGTATGTGAAAACAAA